ATTTTGAACATCTGGTATTCGAGCATGGGGTGCATTCTTTGAGCTGTGATCACGACATGAGACCTTGAGCCCATCAAGCTTGAGTGCATTGTGATGCAGTTGGCATGCGTGATGTGAGTAGCAGAATAGCCGAGCAGAATCACATGAGCATGTCGAGTGAATGAACATGACATGGACGAGAACATGGAGAAGGTTCGAAGCATGCGGTGTGTCATGAGTGATGGAGCAAATGTAGCATGTGGGCATGAGCATGGACGAGATGTGGAAGAGATGCATTATCATGAGTGGCAGAGCATGATCGGCATGTGAGCATGTGTCGGACGATGAAGCATTATTGTGAATGAACATGTTTCTGCATGAGTGGCCAACATGAAGTGAGGTGAAACATGTTCACGCACTACATACATGAGATAAAAGTTTCACCCATTCATATAAAACTCCATTCGTGATGTTCTTTGCCCTCTTTGTTGACGCGTTCCTTGGTGGCTTGATCGAGCATCTCTATCTTCGGAGCATCACCAGCAACCAGATCATGCCAAACACTAAAACATAAAGTGTGTTATACAGCCAGCCCGCCCAGTGCCTAGGGCTGCGGGTGTCGGTGGAGCCTCGCTCCTACGCGTGAATGCTGCCTATGTCAGTCCCCACTCCGGTGCGGACGCATAGGATAATCATAAAGCTTATCTCGCCTGGCGAGCGAGAATGAAAAGGGATACGCATTTTCGTGGATTAGTAACACGCTGGGTCCATTAATGTGGACACCGCCCGATGCCTGACAAGACGGCCGGCGAGCCGTATGTACTCAGATTCGGTTTAGGTCGACGTGCTCAAGCATCCGGCATGATTGGTAACATTCTTTTTGGTTTTTCCATCTTAACGTGCATGTTGATTCAGTGCAACATAGCTACAGAGCCTAGCGACGCAGCACCAATGGTACCGGGATCGGACGGTCGTCAGTGGCATCATCCTCCTCCACCTCCACCTCCACCTCCAGTTCACGGGCATGGAGTTCTACAACAAGTTCCGGTGTCACCAACCCACGTGGCAGATCACCGGACCCCTTGGAGCCCCATCTGATGCCCTCCAGGGAACAGTTGTTCAACATGTGCATCAAGGACAAGATGCTCCACCTCCGAACTATACCGTGGCACCTCAACAAGGTCATCCTGCAGGGCAACAAGGAGTCCAGATTCCCTGACAACCACATCAAGGAATTGCCCGGGGACAAATCGTCAATTCCCAGGACCCAGCGCAGTACCACCACCAGTTCCAGGTCGGTGTCAATCAGCATGTTCATCCTGCAGGACCAGGAAGCGCTCAAAGACCAAGCCCTCCAACGCACAATATCCCTCGTCCTCCTCCTCCACCAGTTCAAGATGTACGACCTCCTCAACATCAGCAACCTCGACCTCCAGATCATCGCCCACAACACTCAAATCAGATGATGACACAGCCTCAGCACCAACAACCAGACGGAGCTCATATACCTCGTCAACAACCTCAAGGTCAGCTACCCAATGCGGCTCCCGGAGCATACCACCCCATGATCTCAGCCGGCCTCAACCAGATCCACCATCCTCCTGCACAGCAAGAAGTTCCAGGAGCTGGCCGAGATCATCCACCAGCACATATGCAACGTCCAGATCAAGTTTCTCCGGGGCAGTCACCATATTGGAGCGGACCTCACCACGGGATGATTCAATACGACGGCGCACAAAGTCAAGGCCTTGCACCTCCCGATCGTCCAACATATCAGGTTACAGCTCAACAAGATGATGCAAAACAAGCCGTGATTCACAATCCTGTGCAGCAACCAGGAGTACATCATATCACACCACACCGTGATCAGACGTCGCATCCCTCACAGGACCCTGCATCCCAAATGCCACAGAATCCTAGCGGAGCACCGGAACAACTTCGTGGACGAGCACACCCTCAAGATCAACACCCCAATCCGCCACAGATCCACACAGTGACGCCACCAGTCAGCCATCAGAACGTCGTCAAACCAGGCCATGCTCCTCCAGATGCACAACCTCCAGGAGATCGAGCGGCTACACAGGATCAAAACGCCCTTCCACCATCGACATTGACACAGGTATCTACTACGCCTTCTACATCCGTGCAGGATCTCACTCAATTTGTCAGTTGCTTTACCAACATGTTCAAGCAGATTGTACCCATGATGCATCAGTCGGCGTCGGGACTTGCTGACCAACACGAAGGAGGAGATGATCAGCCAAATGAAGCAAGACGACACCCCACAAGACACAGAAGCACGAGTGGTTTTCGCACCCCTCGATCTACCACGCAAAGTGTCAAGACACCGCACACCAAGCCATCTATCCCATCACCAGCATCTCATAGTGTTAGACCTACTCCGTCGACCAAACCTCACCGAGGCCATCGTCACACTTCACCAACCAGGTCAAAGTCGGGTACCATCAGAACACCAGACAAATTTCCAGGCTCATCGAGAAGGCGCTCTTCTCCAAGTGGACCAGCTGTTTCGCCGAGCAACACGTCGTCCAGAACCAGAAGTTCATCCAGACCTACTTCGAGGACCACGCCCAACATTGTGCTCAAAGCCAGACCGAGACGTTCAGATCGCACATCCTCACGCAGAAGACACAGAAGCCCCACGCCTCCATCCTCATCAAGATACCCCGCAACGAGAACAACTTCGGAGACGTCACGAGTGGAGACACACCATAATCATCAAACATTCACGCGTCAAGAACGTGAAGAATTAGGAGACCTATACCAACGAGCTCTACAAGATCCACACCGCCTGGAATGCGTCACGGAGATGTATCACTCACAAGACCCTCCCCCTCCAGCTGATCCAAGCAAGGCGCGAAACCGCAAATACATGGAAGATCTCGTCAACGACATCAACAAGATCACCGAGAACTATCCATGGTGGGCCACGGAACCTGCACAGCAAGCAATCAGACAGGTTGCTAGATCCTTTGCAGGCGCACATCCATCAATCACGCCCTACCTCTGCGGCTTCAGAGACACAGGCCCACCTCACTTCACACTCACCTCCATCCAACCAGAAATACTGATGCTCGACCCTCACAACGCGAAGGCCAACAGAGCAAGCCAACCCCTGGTACAAGTCCTCGTCATACCACTTCGGAAAACCCGTCCACCTCCGTTTCCACAAGATGATACACGACCTCTACCCCCATCTCACAAAGGCACCCACAGAGCTTATTGGACCCATGCTACCGATGAGGCTGGCATCTGGCACATACTACGTGAGGGATTCGTTCGTCCCACAAATTGGCAGAGGACCAATTGGAGCAACGCGGACCTCACCTTTCAGGAGGCGTATCTACCACATCGAGGGTTCAACGGATTCCACCAAGACAACGAACCGGACCATCACCAACTCGGCATCGGCTTCACCAACCTGCAGAAGGCACTTCGTATTCCCAAAGCAAAAGCCGGCCCCTCCGACGACACCGTCAGCATTGGCTACACCGTCTTCGGGAAGATCAAGTCAGGAGCAGCACGGCACTCACATATCAAAACAGGCGGCGGAGGCTGGACGACACAAAAAGCCCTCCTCGAGGAGTACCTCAACGACCGACATCAGGCCTACACCACTATTTTCTCCCACCCCGAAAAGAGTGTCATCGACGCACAGAACGCAGAGATCACTGGTCTCACCATCAACCTCTTCTACCCCAGAACTACCACACCTACCAGCACTCGCAGATCCAGATCACCGAGAACGTCAAGAAGAACCAGAAGGGAGTAGAACACCAAGAAGGGCACACTGTCCTTCCAGATCAAAGCCTACACGGAAGAAGATGATCTCGCTTGAACAGCCAGAAGTGACGACGCGCATCCTTTTCACTTCCAATTCGCTAACAGCTACCAGCAGGCATTCTTCATCAGCTGAGACTCACAAAGAAGTTCGAGAAGAGCCTTGCATGTTCACGCCCAGCATGACACGCCACCTTGTCCGTAGGCTGTCGCACTTCATGCAGCATGTGCCAGGTCACGCTGAAATCGTCACGCCACATGAAGTGTCATGAGTTGCCACGAGCGTTATGACCATGGTCATGAAGACGATGAATGACATACATGTTGCACGAGAACACCACTGGTTTCAACACGACATGTCGGATGTTTTGCATTATCTCACGCTGGCGATGCTTCGATCACATGTGGCATGAGAGTGTTACGCCACATGTCCTTTTCTTGTGCTGCAATCACGGCATCCATCTCACGTCACGCTGAAGTTGCAGTCGTCTCATGTTGTCATGCATGACATGCATGCAGAAGCTGGCCTTGACACATCCATTAAGAGTTTCACCCAACATGGCTGCATGAGCAGTAAGATCTTCTAGCATGACATCACATGCCTTTGTCAGCTGACTTGTGCATACGTCGCAGTTTTGTGATCACCAAAACCAATTGAGTGGTCTCACATTTTGATCCATGAACTCCGACGAGGACATAGAGCATGCGTTACACCGGTGGCTGGCAGGGCACGTGCCCGATCACTACGTTACACAAGTTTTTGGTCCCCATATGCTACAACGATGGCAGGCGATGCTCGTTAGCATAGTGGAAGAGAGTGAAATCCCCATCGTTCACGACGAGACACCCCTACCACCTCGACCATGGTCCACGAACATGCACCCTACTCGCTACATCGACGGCATCGCCAACCAAGAAGATGGACTCAGCCAGTCAATCAACCGGTTTTAGACAGCACACAGTACGCGCAAAACTTCTACATCAATCCAGACTGCGACCTTTGGAGATGGAGTACCAGCACAGTAAAGGCACGACCCACTTGACAGATGCAGAAGTTCTACCTGGAAGACGAGCCCAAGCCGCTGCGACCATCACCCATAGCCCCAAGACCATTGCTCCGGCTACGACTGCACAGGAACATGCTAGTCAGTTCCAGAGACGATATCCAAGTCGACAAGCACCCCCGCTAGACCATGCTACGGGCATGATCTCGCAGTCAAATGACGAAGACAATCCAGTTCGAGATCTTCAGACATGGCACACTGGCACCTTCCCGCACATACCAGTACCTCCAGATCGACGAGTACCTCACCACGGAGAACTACCTAGTCCGGATCGATCAAGATCACCGCTTCGCAATCCCGGAGACCATGGCTACCAGCCTGCAGCAAATCTACGACAGCTTAGGGCAAGAAGTAGATCCACAAATGACTTCACAACATCATGACCACGGTCACCTTCTTCCAGTTCTACCAGTTGATCAACTCGAACCAGGTCAAGCACCATGGTGGAGACGCCCAATCAAACCTGAACTATTGCACATGTCGCCACAAGTGGAGCCCCACCACTGGGAACTACAAGAAGACGGCACACCAGTCATCAGGTATTACCCCAACCGGATGAATTTTCTACCCAAGCAGCTCGTCCACTTGTTCCCGTCCATCACTCAAGAGGCACAGAGAAGCATCCTCATGTCCTGGAACGAGTATATCGATGACCCGGCCACTCACGTACAGATGATCCGCCATGCAGAATCCCTCAAAGAAGACTCCGAGAAACGCCGGCACCACCAAGTCAAAACACTATTCAGGGACATTATGACGGGACCCTCCGGACTTCGCATCCTGCAGTTCACGGCATACCAGTTTCGCATGCTGGTACGCAAAGGCACCAACCCCGATATGACCACCATGCCCAACATATACCAGCTGTGGCATTGGGGATACGTCAAGTTCAAAAGCGTCAACGAGGAACTCTGGATTTTCGCACACAATTTTGCGGACCCTCAACTCATGGCCAGGCTGGAACAAACGTGCGTTCACTTCCACAGGATTTGGGCCGCGCAAGTTGTTCCTAGCACAGCAGGTCTTGTACCTATCCTACCCAAGACACAAGACCTATGCGTCGTGATCCACAACACCAATCCTCCGTTTCACCAACCCATGGCAGCCAGACACAACACCATCTCCGGCATCATGACCTCGCAGGCCGTCAGCAACATCGTATTTCGCAAAGTCCATGCCGACGTACAACTGCACAGAACGTGGCCCAGTGTGGATGCGACCACTCAGTCGGATTATGAGGATGATACTTTTCTACTACCAGATCATTGGCCGACCAACATATGGACCGACACACTGCAAAAATTGACCACCACATCTTCGTGGACGGCACCCTTGGAATCAGACATCAGAACCAAGCTCACCGTTGACCACATCTTCCACGACGTGATCCCTCACATGATTTGGACGCCCAGGTTCGCCACACCGATGACGTCACAGCAACTTCATGCCATCCAAGTATCCACCAAAGCAGCACACGTACTTCACCGACTATGGGATCCACTTATTTTCACGTTTGCCGATCCGTGCCATGCATCACGTGGCCACGATACCAGACAATCCAGTCAACCACAAATATCGGAAAAGTTCTACAAGATCGACGAAGAAGGCTACATCCCCATGATAGCCATACCGGCCAGCAGTGTTAGAGAAGCACACGCAGACTGGGCGTGGTTTCAATCTCAGCAGGAACCACAAACACCGTTCAGATGGCTTGCACTACCACTTGCCACTACTACTCTGACCAGAAACCATTCAGTTTTCTGGATCAAAGCTGACCCAGGCCAGCAATCGCAACGCCGCCACGCTCGACATGTTCATCAACACAGTTGGTTCACATTGGATGGAGTTTTCCAACCATTCCACCATGATCTTCCACTTGAACCGAACCAGGCTGTTCCCACACCGACACAGCAGGAGTGGGAAGACTTCATTGGCCAACGACGAGCTCTCCTTGAACTACAACGACGCACCACGAAGGATCGACCAGAAGAACCACATGAGTGGCATCATGCACGCTGAAAGTATCGTTTACAGAGAGAATTGCCGACCTCGTTTCACCATACCATGTGCACCCATGCAACATGACTTGATTCCGGAGTGATCACTGCCATGCCCATGACATGTGAGCATGACACGTCCCATGCACGCGGCATGTGTTCATGAGAATCGAGAGCGCTCTACATGCTTGTTCATACCGTTGCAGCATCTATCCCAAGTTTCACAGCACGCTTCAGAGCCAAATCGCATTCACGACATGACGGACAGAGCCCTACGACATGATGATTACAGAAATCGTTCTCCTGGCCGACACCAAGATCGACATTTCGCCAGACCGTCCAGGAGATTCAGTACACCACGACCTTCAAAGCGACAAAGAAGCAGATCACGCCAGCCCCGATCCTCCTTCACATCAAGAAGAAGCTCTATTCCACTCTCGGGACAGACACACGGGAAGCATCGATCATCAAGGACAAACAGTCCGAGACGCTCCCTCAGCACAAGAAGTGCAGCGCGCAGTCGAAGCCCTAGATTTACAAGCCACCAGAGGCTTCCAGTGTACCGGAACTCACCGGCCACCTCTCAACCTTCCACCGCGGCTACACCCCACCCCACCCAACCCAAAACCCGAGCCAAAGAGATCTTGAGAGACATCTTCAGTCAACCCGACAACGACCTCCCGGAGCATTGGGACACCACAGACACGCTCTACGACCAAAACCAGTACGGTGGACTACAGATGCCCAGAACGGTTCCGGCCACAGCATCGGCACGCAAGAACGGCACGTCAGGTATGGATCCGTTGGACATCAAAGTTTGGCAAGTGGCTTTTGAAGGCAAACACAATTATATGCTTCGACAATTAGCGAATGGGAGATGGACACAGTTTCAAGGACACAAGTCCTTGCCGGATGCGATCTTCCACATGAAATTGTCCACCTTCATTCGCAACCGAGGCATTCGTGTCGAAACCATTGCCGTCAACTACTGGAAGTGGAAGAACGGCACAGAGAAGCTCAACGCAAAGAAGCTATGGACCTCCCCTCGTCAACAACATCGGAGACCTCCTCATGCGCTACAACAACCCACCCGCAGTCCAACCTCAAGTACGAGCTCAACTTGCTGAGAAGGAAGCTGAGATTGCAAATCTACGTGCTCAACTTGCTAGCCAGAACCGCAAAACACCCTTTCCCCAAGGCATCATCCCACCCACCCAGACGCAAATGCCACAGTTCTTCGAGGCGGCACAAGGCCACACGCAGCCTTCTTTGACACAAACAGGAGCACACGCCACCGTACCCATGGCCCAGATGGCGAGCAGCCCCCAACCAGCCTCAATCAGCCAAACAAACCCAGTCAGCCAAGCTCCATCGACCCAGACCATGCCACCTCCGCCCGCTCCAGCTCAACTCCAAACCTACGTGGACACGGACTTTGATGATACTCACATCGGCGGCATAGAAACACCATCCTACCAACCCAGCCCGGTTTCAGATGCCCCCACGCCCAAGCCATCCCCGGCGCCCCAACCATTTGACTCGCCCAACACCAGACAGAACAAGGTGCTGCTTGACCTCGTGAAGACCTTCGACACCGATGAACTCATCCAGTACCTCAGCGACATTGCACCGAAGGCGGAACAGTCTGAGGCCATCAAGATGGACAAAATCAAACAGGTTCACGAACTCACAAGCTCGTTGACGCGATATGCAGCACCATCGGCTACGTCGTGGATAAACACCTTGAAGCTGAGCGGACCAAGACTGCAAGCTCAAAAGGATATAGCCACACGTCTCACTGTCTTCGCGGAGGCCAACCCCAAGAGCGAAGCATACCAACAAAGCTTTCCAACACAGCTGGCACAGCAGCAGTGGCCACAGTGGTTGCCGGTCTCGCGGCTTACCTACATTGACTAGGCACCTTATTGGCATTCACACAACCATCCGGACGCCTCAACAAAATGCACACCTCCATGATGAGGTGTATGGACATCGCGAAAGACGTGGTCCAGTACACCTACCACCGCATTCCTTTTCTACATCGATATTCCACCTGGCTCTATGGCAAGTTTTGGATCACAACCCTATGGCATTTTCCTCCACAAAAAGTCGAAAAACGACGACTCGCCCGCCTTCGAGAGTTTCACCGTCTCACCCCGCAGAGCTACACATTCGAGTTCTTCAACACGCCGAACGCAGTATATTGGCGAGTGGACCATTCACGAGTACATGAACGCATGTATGTCGGCAGCACAACCAACAAGATCACCACACGGGAGGACAACAGAAGCAGAAAACACGATTCTGTGGCTGCCCAGAAGCTGGTCAATGCAGAGCCAGCCATTCACTACTGGCACGCCACTGGCACGTACTGGGAATATGTACCAGTCAAAGTTCGACACGCTCGTGATGTGGCAGAACTTCACATGCTCGAACAGTCAGACATATCAGACCCTCAACCATCCCTCAACGCGCCCTTCATCTACAAGCACTTCAAAGAAGACACTGGTCGCACATTCCAACCACAAGTCATTGCCAATGTCAACGTGTTTGCCGGCAAGCTTCGAGCTCGACTTCAGCGTCACCTACGCCGCAAAACATCCACATGGAAATCCGTCAAGACTCGAGTCGATGGCAGAGCGAGAATGTGGGGCATCATCACCTCATTGTGCTCTACTACTGCGTTGAGATGGAAGACTACACGCTCAATCCTCAATCCCAATTTCCCCGCCGAGAACATCTACATGCTGCTACGCATGGCCAACATATTGGAGTCACCATACAAAGAATTTTGCAGATCCGCACTGACCAAAGCACTGGAAAAGAGGGAAATGGAGTTTCCCAACATCCAATTTCTCGTCGTCAGCCTGATCCCGCCCATGGACGCACGCAAACAACATCTTCGAGAAGTTCTTCGTACCCTACTAACGACGCACAGTCATGAACTATGTGCACTACATGTACCAAAAACTACGGTTGTGGTACGACCAGGCTCAAGCATTGAATCTCAGTGCCACAACTGGCAAAAGATATGCTTCGGACCCAAGCTGAAAAGAAGATGCACGTGCCCCACACCTACCAGAGATCTGGACAAGCACCAGGTTATCGATCTTCATCTTCAACATGCACATCCCGATGACCCACTACACCATATCGTCACTTATTCATCCAGACGGGGACCCTATTTCAGAGCCGGCTACGTGGATATCGCAAACAACACAGGACATTCTCAAGCGGTGCCGACGAAATGGGTTAGCCGCACCATCAGAAGAATCCGTCAGACTGGCACTCGAACCCGTCACACGGGAAGCTCTCACGCAACCCACCACCTACATCGACCACGCCATGGTGAAACAGCTCAAGGAGAAGTACAACGGCTACATATTGGCATGTGAAGACCATCACCCTCACAAAATGCTAGCGTATTGTCCGTTCCACTTCCAACAGCTCATGGACAAAATGTACGGAGACCCACAAGTATTCACCAAGCTCAAGCTTACGCCTGTCGCCGCAGCCCACAATGCATGGTATCAACTACCTCAACGCCTCAAGATCAAGCGTGCCTGGGGTATTCGACGGCACAAAAGCTTCAAGGTTCCGGCGTCGTACATTTTCCCCAAATCACGGCCCATCGTCTCCTTCGCTCAGCACTTCGCCAAGAAGCTGTTCTCGGTGGTTGCCAAGGTACTAACCAATATCATATACCAGGCATTCCCCGACGCACTCCAACAGGACAACTCCTACAAGATCTTCCAGGACCTCCACACGTTCATGCAGGTCAGCAGATCTGGCAGGCTTCTTCACCAGCGTTCCACAAGATCGCATTCTACAAGCGCTTTCCATCACATTGCACAAGTACTACAACACATCCCAAAGAGGCTTCAACCACTGGCAGGACGTCACCATCACGTACGACACCAAGAAGACATTACGCACGGCCAGAACGTTCAACGGCAAGATCAGGAAGATTAACCAAGGACGATTCACCATCCACATGCACGATATTTGGTACTTCACATCCCAGCAACAAGTCTACAAGCAGACCAGAGGCAGCCCCATGGGACATCCCATGGTCTGCTGCGTCGAAGAACATCAATGGTACAACACATACAGATCCATGCTTGCCTCCAGCCAGATCTTCAACAAGTTCACCAAAAGATACGTCGACGATCGCATCTGCATATTACCCACAACGTGGGCCTGCACTGTCCCGTGGAATGAGTTTCTTCAGACGGAGTTCTACGGACCACCAATTTTGCTCGAGGAACAAGATCATACAGACTACCTCGGATGCAGCATTGATCTTCAACATGGTGAAGTTCAACTCATACTCCCATCGGAAACGCACCAACTAATCTCACCCAGAGGATCCACACCCATGGTGCACCGGGCAAGCGCCTACCGCACCAGACGACACATGATCTCCAAGATCGCGTACCCAGAAAGAGTACGTCTACGCCAACTCCGACAACTACGTGCACTATATCAAAGACATGATCCTGACATGCTTCATTTTGTGCATAGGCCGACACGATAAGACGTTTTGCGATGCCATGACCGCTCATGATAAAACACGTCATGCTTCATGCTAACATGCCGAATGAGCTCACGACCATGTGTTCATGCAAGTGTCCAGCGCAGCAGTCGTGCGTCAAGTGTGGTGAGCCACGCACCTCCCTCACCGAGAACAGCCTTCGCACTGTCCATGTCGACATCTATGTCCTCCACCAACAAGATCTCAGATGACAGGTCGAGTCCAACGCCAACTACGGACGCTACACCAAGCGAACGCCCAGGGTCACAGGAGACTTCACAGCAGCCCACATCAAACACGCAGAACCTGGACGAGACGGATGAGCCCAGACAGGCAACGCAAGGAAAAGGTCTCGAAGCAGTTCAACACATCCTTGCACTCCAACATGACCGCATTGTCGCCATGAGCGGTCGACTTGAGGAACTCGAGAACACGATCCAGTACATCTACAAGAACACCAGCACCAATGCCATCCTTCAAGAGCGCCATGACGTGAGGGTGGCGGCCCTTCGAGCGGACTCTACCAGAGCCACCACCGACAACATGATCCAACGACACACCCACACCCTACGCCAAATCAACCAGAAGATCGCGGAGATCCAGAGAGAACAAAACACACAAACACAACGAATCATCGACGTGGAGAGCAGATTGGATGCGATCACCTATACCATGGAGGCCATGAAAGACAAGCTCCAACAACACTCCACACAACAACGCGAAGATCCCCACACCAGCAAGTCCTTCCTCGTCGACAGCATCGAGTACGCCCGCGTCCGCATCGACAAAGTTGAAGACCAGCTCCAGAAACACGGACAAACCATCACCTACATGTACAATTACTTCAAGCCTGGAACCAGAACGTCCACCAGCTCGGATGCAACACCTGTGGGACAATACCGCTCCAAGTCAAGAACTCCCTACGACCCCAATCCGAGCAGACCAAATCCCACATCATCTAGTTCGGCTACACAGTGAAAACACGCGTCAAAGTCACGCCAGAGCAGAAGAAGATCTACAAAATGATCGAGATCGAGTTCACCAACCGACAGCGATTGGAAACATTTTATCTTTGGTCATTTTGTTTTGCATTTTCAAAAACGAGTCCTGCTCTATCTCACCTACATCTGAACCTCGGCTTGGAGAGAGAAAAAGTACCTGCACCAGATGCGAGCCGTGCACCTTCACTCCTCATCATAAACATCATCATATAGCATGCGGCATGTGCAACATGTGAGATTGGCATGAAAACAAGACGATCATGTAGCATGACATGCCACGCTGCAGCCTGTTGAGCAAATCGGGTGACCAACCAGAAAACGCTCTCCTTTGGCCTAACATGGGTAAACACGATCAACACCCCATGCTGATCCTCACTCCCTACATCTACGATCCAGATCGATGAAACGCAGATCGGACAACAATAGAACGAGGAGACGATCACCGCTGGAAAGAAATCCGGCCAACAGATTCGGAGATCGGTCCCGACGCCATGAACATCATGAGCACGAACCTCAATCATTTGCTAGCAGGAACAGAAAACAGGAAGAGCTCCAGAGAGCAATTGAAACAGCAAAGACTGAGAACATCGAGATCATGGACGACATCACAATACCCGACCTCACCTACCTGATGATCGAGGAAGCCATCAGCATGCAGGCCACATTGAAGATTTTCGACGTCAGCGTCACACCACTCGAGTTGCGCAGCAGCACGCACCAAATCGACATCCTCAAGGCATTCGACAAGAGTAAAGCCCAAGGACATGGAGTTTACACGCTCAACAAATCCGAAGTGATAAACTGGTTCACTCCGACATCGCTGGCAGTCAAAAGCAGACATCCGAGTTGCACCGTCTATGAGTTCATCGAGCTCCTCGAACAGCATATGATCTCCGAAACCGCCATGCATAAGCTCCTCGAGCAGGACACCGTCAACAGCATCGACCAGTACCGAAGAGCATTCATGCAGTTCAATGAGCAAACCAACCAAGAGCTCGTCACAAAGTCCATCGCAGTGAAGGCACGGCCCAAAATGCCCGCAGAACCCAGCGCACTACCTCCAGATGTACCTGTCAAAGCTCCACCAGAGTCCATGCCACCCCACATTGGCCAACCTCCTCCGGAACCAGCGGCACATGCTCCAGTTACAAACCCGGTGTATCATCTCCCACCACCTCCACCAGCGGAGCCCATCCATCGGCCTCCTGCCAAGGCCATGCCTCACCATGACGCCAATACGTGCAGGCATTACTACAACTGCCATGGCTACTGCGATTGTGGAAGATGGTGCCAAAAAGTCCATGATCATGACGGACCACATGAATGTGAAAGATGCCAGACGAGATGATCGAGAATCACGGCGAGTAACACTTACCTCCACAACTCCAAGATTGACGAGACGAACCGAGACCAAGAACAACACAAGAAGACATGAGTTGTAGATATGAGGTAAGCTGCGTAATGCATGCACTCCATGCGATCAAAACAACACGGACTGCCAGTGGAGTATGCTTGTTGCGGACCAGCCCCGCCATCGCTACGCATTTGCACGGTCACAGTTCATGAGGATGGAACTTGGTAGGTCATGGCCTGCATGTGACGTGAGATGTTGCACCCATGTTAGCATGAGGGCATGTGCTCACACCAGTTCAGCTGCTGATGGAACAAGTCACCAAGATGGGCAACTCTCCACATCCATTCACTCCACTCATGATCCCCACCAGTGAAGCGCTCGCGTTGTGGGGCCAACTCCAACATTGGCACAAGAACTTCGGATACCACCTGGACAAGATCCAACTACCCGTACCACAACCTCCTCAAGTACATGGTGACCCAACAGATCAACCACAACCTTCGCAGCTAGCCTCCAAAAAACGTCGTCAACAATATCAAGCTCCACAGGACACCGATGCGGAGACTAGGAGCGGAACTACGTCCAACCTCATCCAGGACACGCCCATCAACCACTTGGACCCCATCGCCTACGTCTCCGTTGGCAACCACCTGGACCAAACCCCGATGTCCACATGGGAAGCCATCAAACACCCGGACAGACACCGCGAATGGAAGGAGCACACCGAATGGAACGCCACTACTTACAACACCTTCACGGAGGCCATACACAATCACCCGTTCGCTCAACACCTCTCCCCAACCGAGACATGCAGCATTATGCTCACCCATGGCAGAAGTACGGTTGGCAGTACTACGTGCTTCAGGAGGTCAACCCCAACGAGCTTACACAATCCCAGATGTCCAACCCGCTCGACCACACCCTCGATTCACAACCTGCTTCACACCAGGACACATATGAAGAACGTCAAATGGCAGAACCAGCTGGACAAGACGACGAACAACGCCATCACCTTTGTGACCTTTGGGTGAGGCACCTGGTCAAAAGCCTCCATTGACCTTCGGGCGAGGCACCTGCTCAAAAGCCTCCATTGAAATCGCCAGTAAAAGAATATCGCCATATCCCAGCCAGTCAACGAATGACGAACTCCGTGACTCCCTTCCAAGTGCGGTCCAGTCGTCGCTTGGCATCCACCTTGTAACGGAAGATATCTCGGATGACCTGGGTCTCACCATCATTTTGAAAGGTGACATAGGTAACGCGGTCACCAGTCAACTCATCCAACCCGAAGGGTCTGGCAGCATCGCTGGGGTCAAACAGTTGGATTCGTGGTTGCCGATGGACCCTTACATGCCATCCCCCTCGTGTCGTCCAATAATCCTCGGATCCGGCTGGCTCCACCGAACGTGGTGGTCGGACTGGGGGCGCCTTGCGTGGAGGCATAGGCACCGACGAAGAAGCTGTAGGAGCCGATGACATCCCAGTGGATGGAGTCGGTGTCATCCCAGGGGGCGTGCTTGAGGTCATCCTAGTGGATGTGTTCGATGCCGTCCCAGTGGACGTGTTTGATCCCATCCCAGTGGATGTTGGGGCTAAAGGCGATGACAGCGAGGACGGGTCTTCCTTGGACCGTGCCTTAATCCTCTGATATCCTGCCAAAAACCACGCTGCTTCCCAGAATACTGAGCACCATAGCAGTCAGGCCCATCCAAAGCGCCGTCTGCCCGAAGTTCAACATGACGACTGTCGCCATATCATCCATTGTCATCGCTTGCTCCATTGTTGCACCATCCACGGTACTCAACATGGCCAAACAAACCAAAATCTTCAGCATGTTCGTCACTTGCAGCCTGCTGGCTTGAGGCTGACAACTTGTTGGCCCTCCCATGTTGATCCGCTTCCTCAGCTCGTCCACTCTACTCGCAGTAAGGGGTTTTGTGCCCAAATCTGCGGTCATGTAAACACCATCAAGGTGATACATCTGCCAAATATCGCATTGTAATCTTTAACCCTCGGGTCCGCCAAAGGTTGGAGCTCCCTGTGACTAAGGCAACCGTAGCCGCGTTATCGCAGTAGATCACAGCCTGAACAGGAACCTGCAAGATTTCTTCCAAAACGCATTTGGTTCCCTCACCATAAGCTACCCCTTCCAACACTGCACACAGTTCGCTTTCTGCTGTACTGAGGCTGGTCATAGTTTGCTTGTTGGACGACCAACCGATTAATTGGCCTGCAGCAAAAACATGTACACATTCTTGGGAACGTCCGGCATCGGGAGCGTGGCTGGCATCTGTAAAAACTTCCACCAACGCCTCTTTTCGAGGCACCCTTAACTCCTGATGCTTCCCGAAAGAATCCGGGTTGGCCACATAGCGAAGGCCTTCCTCCTTTGTGGCCTTGAGGAACTTGAAGATTTGAGTTGCTGCTTCCACCGCCAAAACAGCATCCCTGGTAATGCATTGAGCCGCCTTGCTGATGGCAAAGATGATATCAGGTCTTGTACGGGTTCCAATCCAATTTAACTCACCAATCAGCTTTTGGGCCAGCTTCACTTGCAGAGGATCCATCTCCTTTTTGTCATGAGGGAGATCTTATCTCAACGCAGGAACCCTGGAGGTTCGTAGGCTGCCTTGATGCTCGCTCTCGAATCGTTCCAAGATTTCGTCGATATACGCCTCTTGCCGGAGCAAAAATCCACGGCGATCATCAGACCCTTCCGATATATCGAATCCGCAAAAACGAACAGAACCTTGGGCCACGTACTGTGGTGTAGAGCATGCCCAGAGCTGCGACAGATCGCTGAAGCACGATTGTAGTACCCCATCTTCCATGACTCCCAAAATGTCATCGATATAGATGGAAACCAGGCCGCACAACTTTCCATCCTCGGATAAAATTCTCCACAAATTTTGATCTGTGCGACAAGCCTGCCATGCTCCTCCACTCAGAAATCTTCGGCCATTAAGTTGTTGATTTCGAAACACTGCCCAGCTCTTAGGCGAAATGTCCAATCCATATAATGCACGGGTCACCAACCACTTTTCATACGGAGGGATAATTCCAGCTCGGGACAGGATTTTCGGCGGGTCCAAAATGATGCGTTCTGTTTTGGTTTTGGTCCGCTGAAGTAGTGGGGCATTCAGGAAGGCCCCCTTGATGTCCGTAGTTCCTGCCTTCCAGCCACGACGAGCCCCCACAGCAAGCATGGTACGCAGCACAGTAATGTCAATACCAGCCGCATATACCTCCTCACGGAGCTCCTGCTTTGTTTTGCTGCTCTCCCCGGCCTGGAGAAAGTTCCCGCAAGCGCATGCCCTCGCTTTGCGTTGTCCACTGACCGCCTTTCTTGTGAACACCATTTTTGCCGGAATCCTCTTCACAATCAGGCTGTCGTCCTCCTCCATGACCCGGATTTGCTGCTCGGTGATTGGCTCTATTGCAGCCTTCTCATGGCGAATCGTGTTATACTCGGCACTCACCGCTGGTGTCCACGCTGGCAGCTCCTGCAGTACCTGGGCTTGCTGAATTGTCTTTGTTTGCAAGAACACCTCCGGAAAAACATCAGTAGGAGCGCCCGTACCTCCAACATTTGTTTCCACAGACATGCTCTTCAACAGTCGAAGATCATCTTCCACCTGGTCTGCTTGCTCGTGTATGGCCCGTACCTGCGTGACTTGATCCTTCAAGGTCCAAGTGTCCGGCTCCTCGTCCAAGCTGGATTGATCCCAAAGGTCTTGCTGCAGCTTTTGTTGTTCATGCAGCCCTAACCTTTTCAGTCCCAGCTGCATACCATCCAGCAGGTCGCTCTGCTCATCAGCTTCAAAACCAATGGGTATCTCGAACATGTCCCACCACGCCAGCCGCTGCTCCCCCGGTTCCAGGGCTGTTTTTGCTTTGACACAACATTCCCGCCTCCTCAGGAACCAAAAAACTCTCCGCAGCATCCAGCATTTTCAGGGCATCGCTGTGTTCTAGACGAAGTTGATAACGAGGACGAACATTTCTATAGTCCTCGTACCTGATTTCCGGCGTTCTCGAACGGCCTCGTCCACCTCCACCTGGGCCATCTGGACCATCTCCTGGTGGATTATCATCTTCATCGTCTCCTTGATCCACATCCTCATCATCTTCTGGAGGCTCCTCCTCATTTTCTTCTGCTTGTTGAGGCTCTTGCAGCTCGTAGAGGACCTCGGACCGAATGACAATGTCGAGGGTGCCAGTGAGGTGCCTCCTCGTAGCCCACCGTATGATTTACCATCATGGCAAACTGGTGAATTTCCAGCTGATTTTCATCGTCGTACATGTAGCGGTAGTTGATAAGCCCGCCTCCTTGATTCTGGATCATCCTCATCCACCAAATGCCTCATCCCATCCTCAGGCGGATTGACCCGGTCCAATCGAATACTTGGGTCCTTCAGGACTTGATTGGGGTCGATTTCCGGATCTGGTAGCAAACCTGCCCACCTGAAGCGATACTCGTAGGCTGCTGAGGCCGCTTGGTCGACAGTTTCTGTCGTAGGTAGGATGCCATCCGGTGGGAGCACTGCGGACCACTCACCTTCCCAGTCATCCACAAACGTGAGCATTGGCCTGCTCATGGGTCCATCTCTCCTGAAACAACCGATCCGCAGTTGCAGCATCCAACACAGTGTACTGAATTTGTGTATGCTCCACTTGCCTTGCAGGCCCATCGGCTTCTCCCTCCTCTCGCTGTCGCAGACGAAGCTTGGCGACCCTTGGCCTAGGGGCAGTCGTAGCGCTGGTGTTCGAGGGCAAGGTTGGACTCAAACTCGATCTCAAATCTTGCTTATACCCCCCCCAGTGCCTGCTATAGCAGGCAATGGGAAACCTGCAGAATACAGGCTGGCCCTTTTGCCAGGTTCCAACCTGGCGTGCACTGCCAAGGAAAAAGCCACCGCCAGCACGCGCGGGCCCTTCTCTTCACCATCCTCCGAAGCACGCCATCCAATCTCATCGAATCCCCGCAACGAAGGCGATGAATCTGGCCCGGCTTCCAGAGGCCTGGTCGAACCTTCCGAGCCGAGGCCATTGAATGGTGGTTCCACTTCAGTCCAGATAGAGATGGAGGGTGAAAGGCATACCAGCAGATTACTCGTCCCACGTTGATTGAAGATATCGCGATGCGGCCCCAGCCAATTGTTCACCGAAAGGGTAGACGAGGTCCAGGTGTCAGTTGGGAAAGCAGCTGCGAGGATGGCATTCAAGACCTGAGTTCGCAGCCGGTCAGGTTGTTGGGTTGTGGTATTTGTGATCCCAATCACTCCCCCTCGCCTGTAAACCCCATTGGTGATATAGAGGCCTTCAGAGGTTTGGCGGTCGCTGCGTAATTTTGTCCCGCTCAAGGAATCCTGCAGCCACTCGATTGTTTCTTGCAAGGGTCCAGAGATCCAGGAGTCCGCCTTTTTCCAAGCTTGTACCAGACTGTGTCCAGTTTGCTCCAATCCCTGTTTGCCGCGAGCTCGCTGTCTGGGAGGCACAGCGTCCACTTCCACCTCCGAGATTGCACCAGTATCCGCCATTTGCACATTTTGAAACAGCGTGGTAGTCGTGAAGAAATCGTTTCCCACCTTCACCACATAGCCCCTGGAAACATGTTGCGCCGGGGCAATCACCACGCCTTTGTGGACACGATCATCCCATTGTTCAGCCTTACGCCAGTGTCTTTTGCGGATCCAAACCACTGTACCAAACGGAACCAAAGGCTTGATAGGCATGCCCAGTCGGGCCAAGGCCCTGCGAAGGCGTCGCTCAGCCACCCATCGCCCGGCGCCCGGCCAAAGTCGCTTGGCCGACGTTTCACCATGCAGCAACGTCCTGGTGGCCCTCTTGCAAATACCAACTGCAGCTTCTGCCCGGCCATTTTGCTTGTAGGATCCGCCCTGTCCACAGGTTTGATAAATTCCTCTATCCTGAAGCCAACGACAGACGGGGGCATTGAGAAACTCTCCTCCTTTGTCTGTATGAAACCTGGCCACATGCATTCCCCACATTTTCAGCTTGCTGTAAACGCGACCTATGGCTCCCACCACAGATGCTGGGGTCTTGTCTCAGCGAAAGTGAGCTCCACCATCTGTAGCTTGTCCAACTTCAAGTCTTGAGGAGCCACCGTGTCTGCCTGTTCGCGAGGACCTCCTCGTTGCACTCCCATTCACCGGGGTCCACCTCATCATTCCAGTCCTCCTCGCAGTCCAGCCCATAATTCCTTGGGACGACGGCTTCCTCATCTTTTGCCTGAGGTTGTAGTGGCTCATCCAGTTGGGAACACCGCTCATCATCCAAATCCGGTTCATAATCCGGTGTCTCCTCGCCCAACAGCGATGTGGTGTCTACGCCCACCAACCCGTCATCGTCCAGCAAGGATGCGGCGTCATTGACTGCCTCCGAAGACCTGGGCTTTTCAGCTTGACCACCTCCTTCAGGAATTTCCACAATTGGTTCCGGCTCCAAATTTGCAAAGACCGGGACGGTGTAAACCATCGTGCACATGTACTTCACCCGACCATACTCATCCAAGCCCACCGTGTAGGGACCACTCAGATCGGCGCTAATCGCGTAGGCTTCGCTGATAGGCAGTCTCCGATGCTGGCCGTCTTTGGCCCCGCCTGCTAGGCAGTGTCGGCAATCGCGACGAAAAGGAATATGGCCTTGGGCAGCATGTTGTCGGAACTTGGTATCCAGACGATGGATTGATACCCCCCCCGGGACCAAGCGCAGCAGCAATTGTAGAACTGCCCACTTCAAACCATCAGGCCACTCATGCCCTTTGGTCATTTCTTGAGGATCCATTCCTTCCTCCCCCGAACCACGGTCTTTGCAGTTCACCATTGAAACCTCATCGAAGTACAACTTATGCGATACCAGCAATCCTTGCCGTTTCGTGGTCCGGTGACCCAAATCGCCAAAGTCGACTTCCAGTTTTTCCAACTTGTACTTTGCTTGACAATGTCGTACTTCTGGCCAATTCCAGATTTCCGGTTTCGAAGCTTCGGTGTTTTCCCCATTGTTTGGCGCCCTGTGCAGACCCACCGCCTGGCTGTTGTTATGAAGCCTCCTTGCTTCCTCTGCGACCATATACAGCACCAACTGCCTCAGGATCAGGACATTCTCCTTCTCCACAGCCCGCAGGTCGCGAGGACCGAGCTCAGATCTGCCAAGTCGGTCTTGAGGATCATTCCCCCTCCATTGCTTGGGTGCCTCAAACGTCTTGTCTGGAGGTCCGCCCATCACCATTTTGACATGACCACTTCGGGCCAACTCCAACAAAAAACCATACATTTGGTCGCACAGTAGGTTTTCAGGCAGGCCCACGTCGATAACGTAACACCCATCCATACCCTTGCCATCCAGATAGCGCTGAAAGAAGCCCCGGGTTTTGCCAGCAAACAAGTTCAGTACGATGAAGGCAAGCAGTCATTTCCTTTGGCATAGGCGGGCATCGATGACCCCCTCTGGCAGATGCAAAAACTGATCTTGCAACCAGCGCTTCATGGCTACGGGATCCTCAAACACCATAGTCCCTTCTTGCTCCAGGCCACCTCCATCGTCCTGCTGGATTCGCAGCTCCTTCACGAAGGCCATCTTGTCCCGCTTCTTTTGCTCAATATCTTCAATGAGCTTTAAGGCCAGTGCTTCTGGAACTTCTGGGCATCCTGTAGCCAATCGTACTGGAAGCTGGCCAAACTTCGGGACCTTGATGCAGATACCACCTTGATCCCAGGTCACTCCTGTACCCAGCTGGATCAGCTCGCGCATGGCCACAATGGGACTCGTGGAAGCATCGTTAATCCGGAGCTGTGTTGAGCCGGTAGCCAGGGCCACTGTAATCGGGGCAGCACGTTGGAACTCCCGATTGGACTTTGCCCTTCTGAGGCAGGCCGTAGCTCCACCATCCAGCAATCCCCAGCCATACGTTTCACCCCGCAACGCCGCCAATCTCATCGTCTTGACGAGCTCGGATGCCTCCTGAAGAAAAGCTGCCTGTGCCGTCGAGGACGAAGCGGAAGTCGTAGAGGACTGGTTCGTCCGGCTCCACTTTCTTCACGATGGGCTTGGGCTTTCCCTTGCGCTTGCCTCTGCCCTTTGCTTCCGTGGCCTTGTCGTTGGTCTCTTTGGCAGCGGCTGTGTCTGCAGAGGTGGTAGGATAAGGGCAGTTGGCCTTTTGGTGGTCTTCCGCAGAACAGTTGTAACACCTCCCCACCATCCTGGCCTTGTCGTGCGGAAAGGAGCAGGCGTTGCCCTTTCGACACCCCTTAGGTGTCATCCAGTTCCAGCATTGCCCATGTTCCCGCTGTCCCTTGTCTTTGCCCTTGCCCTTCCCTTTAGCTTCTGCTTCCATGGCCGCCACCTTAGGTTTTCGTCCTCCAAGCTCAGATCCAGTAACCGTTTCCAGTTCCGCCAGCAACATCTGCGCTAAGGACTTGGCAGAGGACAAGGTAGGGGCGTAGTCAATCTTGTTTTCCAACCGAAAGGTTGACAGCCGGAATAAGCTTTCCCCCGCAATCACCGCAGCTGTAATCTGGTCCAGTGCTTTAACCAGCAGTGTTGGGTCTGGGAGTGCCAGCTTCAGCTCCTGAGCTCTGGTAAGGGCTCGAGACCACTTTCTGATTCCAGCGATGCCGTCCGTCGCCGTGCTCACCGCAGCTGGAGCAGTTAACGTTCGTAGCAAAGCCTGCTTCTCTCCTGCTCCTCCCGGTTGATACTTGGTCAGCAACCGAAACAGCATAGGAATGGTTTGCACCGCTCGGATGGTTACCATCTCCTCCTTAACATCTGCAGGTAACGCCGCCAGCATGAGCACCGCGCCTCGTTGTTCAGTTCGTGACCA